ATTGGTGTACAAGATTTTGGTATTGCGACGTACAGATTTGCGGCATTACTGGGCATTACTAGGTGTTTTTTGGGCATTAGGCTTTGCTGGGGCATTATAAAGATAAAATAAGATAAAACAAGCTAATAAGATAAAGTAATGCCCGCTGGGCATTGGTGTACAAGATTTTGGTATTGTGACGTACAGATTTGCGGCATTACTGGGCATTACTAGGCATTTTTTGGGCATTAGGCTTTGCTGGGGCATTATAAAGATAAAATACAACAATAAGATAAAGTAATGCCCACTGGGCATTGGTGTACAAGATTTTGGTATTGCGGTGTACAGATTTGCGGCATTACGGGGCATTACTAGGCATTTTTTTGGGTATTCAGGGCCGCCGTTAGGCGCGTGCAACCGGCGTCGCACGCGGCCCCGCGGTTTCATCAGCCTCGCGGTTTCATCGGCTTCGCGGTTTGATCGGTCCTGCTTTCTCGCGCTAATTAAGTGGCCGAATTTGCTTTTTTGCACCCGGCCCCGTTTAGCTTAGAAACGGCTCTGTGGGCATTAGGCCTTGCCGGGACATTACAAAGATAAAATAAGATAAAGTAATGCCCAACGGGCATTAGTGGGCATTGGTGTACAAGATTTTGGTCAGCAGTTTTCCCCTCGGCGAAAACCATGAAAAACTCATAAAAATTACGGTTTTTAACATTTATCTCGCTGAATATCAAAAATTTTGAAAACTGTTTTAAATAAAAGTTGTAGATCTTATCAAAACACACATTATATACTCTATGCATTTTTCCCGTGCGAATGATATTTCTTGAGAAAATCGAGACTAAAGACGGCAATTCTTCAGTACAGCTCCAGTACCTAAAAACAAATCAATAAAATTAATCTCAATCGACGTGTTTTTTTTTACATCCTCGGTTGACAAGTACGCGAGAGTCGCGATCCAGTTTTCCGTCCCGTGGGAATTTTTCGAAAATCTGCTCAATTTTCCTCTCTGCGAGGCATGCACCGACGTTGCGCGCGATAGAAGAGCGCACGACGGTGCGCTCGATGAGAATAGAAGGCCTCTACTACTTTCTAGAGCTGATATTTTCCCGAGAGCACGCCGCCATTACGGAAGTTGTGTCGTAGGAAGCGCGCGACGTTACACACACGGGCGTTGGACGCTCGTGAAACGGCAGCGCGGACGATTGCGAGCGTTTCGACGTTGCTCCAAATAAAAATTAAGCTGTCCGCGCGACACTCGGTCGCTTATTGAAGTATCGCCGCGCGTACAACGCGCCGCGGCAGACCTCGGTGTTCTTTCAATTTCGAATTTTTTTTTGTAAAACTCCGCCCACGTGTTTGGGAATCCTCACGCGTCCACACTTCGATTTAATTAACTTGCTCAAAGTAACTTGTCATGTAGATACAGGAAAAATGCTGCTGACTTAAAAAACGTTAACGTCACAGGCTGCCGCGAACGTAAACAATTCACTCAGTTGTATTTGTATTTTAATTAGGCTTGAACTATTATAAATATCCAGATTATTGGGACAACTATCTAACGTTTTTCGTTTGTCGACGCTGGCGTTGTTTCAACGATTTTATTTCGATTACACTGATCTTGTTCATACAACTTTTCCTTTCCCGCGTAGCCCTTTTGTAAACGACGCAGTATAGCGTGATAGTCAATGAAAAATGTATGAAAATGTATCCATTAACCAGTAAACATGTCTGAATGTCGCAGACATTCGTGTGTACCTCATTTGCTGCGTTTTAAAAGTCAACTAATTCTCTATGTTATCGTGAAAGGAAGTCGTCGATTTATCGATTGTACCGTTTGATCGTTTCATCACGCGACGTATAGAATATATCTGTATATTTAGAAATGTAATTGTCACGCAGGTGGATTATATTTATACGCGATATTAAGCGTATAGATACACGGATATGTTGAAAAGTCCAAATTTTGTTGATTCCAACATCGTGCGAAAATTTACGGATGAAATGTGACAATCAACGCGATCGCCATTTAAATAAAATATACACAGGGATAATAGATTCTCTACAATTTGTACAATAAAGCGTGGCGTTAAATATTGGCTATTTTATATTACACGTAGGATGAAACACTTGGATAGGGTCCGTCAGATCCCACTGAGGACGTGGGATTAAATCTACACGCTGACATTTTCATTCCAAATTTAACCCGATGTGTATGCGATACGTATCGAAGGGAGTTTGTTGAAAACTCAATTATCCTCTTAAACTTGCTATCGAGCGTTAGTTACAACGAGGTAAGGGCTACGTATAATATCGCGCCTCCGGTTACGACTCGAAATAGTACCGGATCTTCGGCTCCGTGAATAAGTAACAATCGTTGCCGACGTAGAGTACGCGCGACTATTATTAATCGGACTTTAAGCTCGGATGATTTTTCCGAGCCTAAACCTCATAGAGTAGAAACGAGCGAGAGGGAGAAGAGAGGCGACAGGCGAGAACTTTCGTCCTTGTCAATGTAAGACTGTTGAATCGAGCTTGTTTCTGTCGTTGTCCGTAAAGTGCCTGTGGCCTGTGTTACAGAACTGGCAGCCACCGTTTGCCGTGGACGTGGACAAGTTCAAATTTGTTCCGAGAATACAGAGGTTAAATGAATTGGAGGCCAAGACCAGGATAAAGCTTAATTTTTTAGATCAAATCGCAAAGTTCTGGGAGCTTCAAGGCTCCTCCTTGAAAATCCCCCTCGTGGAGCGCAAAGCACTGGACTTGTATTCCCTACACAAAATAGTCACGGATGAAGGTGAGTTTCAATTACACGCTTCTATTTATCGCGCGCTCTTCTCGCGTTTACGGTTTTAATTTTCCCTGCGTTATTACAGGCGGCATAGAGACTGTGACTAAGGAAAGAAGATGGGCAAAGATTGCCAATAAACTGGGTTATCCCTCCGGACGAAGCGTAGGCAGCATATTGAAGAATCATTACGAGAGAATTTTATATCCCTTTGACGTTTTCAAGCAAGGAAAGACACTGTCAGATCTTGTAAGTCAATTTTCACGTCTCAACATTCTCGCGAAATTCATTATCTGCATAATTCAATTGTAACTTTATCGAGACTAATAATAATTGTGCGATTGCGTTATGCAGTTGATACCAATCACTAATCTTTTGTTTTGTCTTGGGGTAGAAAATCGAGCCAGATTCGGACGCGAATGAGAAGAGGGATCGCGATTATAAGCCACACGGTATAATATCTCGGCAACAGATTAAACCGCCGAACGAGAAATTCTCGCGGCGATCCAAACGATTTTCCGGGCAAGAAGAGAAGCAAGATGTGTCGATTAAACAGGAAGACTGCAAGGAGGAATGCGACTCGGACAATGAGTGCAAGGACAAGATTAAAAGCAGGTATCTCAGTTGCGATCCGGACAAGAGCAAGGAGCTCAAAAAGTTACAGTTTTACGGACCAGGCCCGAAAATGGCCGGCTTTAATACCAAAGAGGGAAAGAAATCCAACAAGACGCGTGGCCTGAAGCTCGTTTACGAGTTCGATCCTGTAAGCATAACTCGACAGACTATAACGCTGCAACACTTTTACAATAAGAGATAATATACAACCGTATGATAATTTTACTATCTTCTCTGCTCTTGTCTAGTTGGCGAAATATATTTGTCACAATTGCGGGAGAGGTGACAATGAGGAAAACATGTTACTGTGCGACGGATGTGACGACAGCTATCACACTTTTTGCCTTATGCCACCGTTGACGGAAATACCAAAGGGTGACTGGCGGTGTCCCAAGTGCGTCGCCGAGGAGGTCTCGAAGCCGATGGAGGCGTTCGGCTTCGAACAGGCGCAGAGGGAATACACGCTGCAGCAATTCGGAGAAATGGCTGATCAGTTCAAGAGCGACTACTTTAATATGCCTGTCCATGTGAGTCCGTGCTGGCCGAGATGCATACGCGTGTATTCGTTTCTTCGTCACATATAACCAATCGCTTTTTTGTCCGCAGATGGTCCCGACGTCGCTGGTGGAAAAGGAATTCTGGCGAATAGTCTCGTCCATCGACGAAGACGTCACCGTGGAATACGGCGCCGATTTGCACACGATGGATCACGGATCCGGATTCCCAACCAAGACCAGCGTTAATTTGTTCACTTGCGATCAAGAGTACGCCGAGTCTTCGTGGAATCTGAACAACCTGCCAATTTTACGCGGGAGTATCCTCGGTCACATTAACGCTGACATAAGCGGCATGAAAGTCCCCTGGATGTACGTCGGCATGTGCTTCGCGACGTTCTGCTGGCACAATGAGGATCACTGGAGCTATTCCATCAACTATCTGCACTGGGGCGAACCAAAGACATGGTACGGCGTACCGGGTTCTCAGGCGGAGCGCTTCGAGCACTCGATGAAGTCCGCCGCACCGGAGCTGTTTCATAGCCAGCCCGATTTGTTGCATCAACTTGTTACCATCATGAATCCAAACATACTGACAAGCGAAGGTATGCTGTATATAGTGTCGTGTATTCACACACGCGTACGGTAAAATCGAACGAGAGAATTCCACATTTGTAGCATTCGCGGCGGAGTGGATTAACGCGAATTATTTAACGTTTATCCAGTTTACGTTTCCGCGCGATATTGTCTTTAAATGTAATCTTGCAATCGTTCAACAGGAGTCCCGGTATTCAGAACAGACCAGCACGCGGGTGAATTCGTCGTGACGTTTCCAAGGGCGTACCACGCAGGTTTTAATCAGGGATACAATTTTGCAGAGGCTGTAAATTTTGCACCAGCGGACTGGGTACGTGTGTAAATTGTGGCGCACTCGGGTTCGTCTCGGTCCGAATAAAGCGAACGCAGTTGCGATATTCGAACACTCAACAATTCAAATACAACACTTTACATATACTCTATTATGTATTTAGGTTATACGTATGCCTAGGTGATATACTAGTTTAATTACCTTTCCCATCAGCTCAAGATCGGACGAGATTGCATCACGCATTACTCCAACTTGAGAAGGTTCTGTGTGTTCTCTCACGACGAGCTGGTTTGTAAAATGTCACTGGATCCAGATTCATTGGACATCGGAGTCGCGACCGCCACGTATCACGACATGTTGCAAATGGTGGAGGATGAGAAAAAATTGCGGAAAAACCTGCTGGAATGGGTGAGTCTGTGATGTTTACTGCGTCAGATTTCTGAGTACCAAAAATTTGCAGTATCTCACCACACATCTGAGGTTTTCAATTTACCCCATTTATTATCTCTAAATATTTCATGTCTTCGATAGCAATTGTTTTTGCAACGAATCGAGTCTCGCTTTTATTCTTTAACTGCTGCGACAATCCGATTTACTCGTTGAATGCCGGAATATTTCACGATTTAGGAGAACCGTCCTGCATTTGTTCTGTAATGTTAAATGCAACATTTTGATTTCATGTATATTGCATATACAGGGTGGATATTAATGGGTGTACCAACCTTTTACCATAGGAGATGACTTCCCGACCGCAACTGTAACCAGACCTGGAAAAAAGTGGAAAAAATCTCGCTATATGTGTCTCAGTCATGCATCTGATTGTATCTCGAGAAATGTAAGTAGATATTACATGATTCAGACACATATAACGAGATTTTGTCCCATAGACATAGAAGGTAGACCTAGTATACGTGTTCCCAACGTGTCACGAACATAACAGACAGAGAGGCAAAATAGAGTGGCCGCAGGAGGCATGAGAGGGAGCGAGAGACAAAACATTGTCTGCGCAAGACAATATTTTGTCTCTCGCTCCCTCTCATGCCCCCTGCGGCCACTCTATTTTGCCTCTCTGTCTGTTATGTTCGTGACAACTTTTCTTAAGGAAATGAATGGGCATGCTGGGTCTATCTTCTATGTCTATGTTTTGTCCATTTTTTCCCAGTCGCGGTCAGTAATTCTTCTATGGTGAAAGGTTGGGTATGTCCATTAATATTCACCCTGGGCCGCTTTCGCGAGAATAACATTTCAATGTGCTGCTATGAAATTTCAGATTTGACCAATTATAGCACAGGGTCATTTTAACCTGGATCCTTTTGATCTTCTCGCGAAAGCAGCCCTGCATAAAGTCTAAAGCGGGTAGCACACACTTTTGCATAAGTGCATAAACATATGCGTAACGAATTTGATTGGTCTATAAGCAAACGCACAACGAAATTGACCAATCACATTCGTTATGCATATGCTTATGCACTTGTGCAAAAGCGTGTGTTTCCCGCTTGAGGGTGTTTACGAAGTAGCACTCGGAGTTAGGGCCATCGCACACAAAATTGCATAGTTGCATAGGCATAGCACAAGACCGTCTGGACCAATGAGCGCGTTATGTAAATCAATATGGCGACTCAATGTTCGATGTTCATTGGTTCAAACGGTTATTATGCTATGCACATGCAGCTATGCAATTTTGTGTGCAATGGCCCTTAGGCTTGAATCGGACCACTGAAATATATACGCGCGCTAGAGCCGAGCCGTGTGTACCGAGAGAGAGCATCGTCGAGTGGCGTCTGTCATTGTCTAGTACAGTTCGAACCAAAAGTTAAATCGAAGCGCAGCACAACTGCGCGAGATCGTGTAATCTCTGACAACGAGCTAATTTCTTGATCGGACTGTACCTTTCCGTCCCCACTCTCGACCACCCTATAAACCAGACAATGACAAACGCTACTCGATGATGCTTTCTCTCGGTACACACGGCTCGGCTCTAGCGCGCGTTCCAGTTAGTATATATTTCAGTGGATCGGACACGCGTACGCCTCTCAATGATTCATGTATTTCATGCTTTGCCCGAATTGTCTCTAAAGCCCAATGTCCACGATGCTAGAACTTGGACCAAGTTCTAGCATCGTGGACACAGGCCTTAATAGCGACCCGGGTAATCCGAGTTTGGGCAGACTGGTTCGAATTGGTTTCCTGCGTAAGGACAAGTAAGTTGGAATATTACATCCTCGTTATTAATAATAGTAATAAAAATATAATTTATTGTCAGTCAAGTCTTTACCAAATTTATGTGTGTGTGCACATGAGGATCCTAAAGTCGTCGCAATTTTGTAAAGACTTGACTGACAATAAATTATATTTTCATTACTATTATTAATAACTGGATCGTGTAATATTCCAACTTACCTGTCCTTACGTAGGAAACCAATTCGAATCAGTCTGCCCAAACCCGGGTTTACCCGGGTCGCCATTAAGAGGATCCCGTAGCGGGTCTGTTTTACCGACAGAATACCATTTTCGTAATTCTAACCTATCGTCGTATTCAATTCATGGAATCAAAAATGCTTGCGTACAATTACAGTATATGCATTGATGATCCGGGGAAACTCCAATTTGATACCAAAAATGAGTAAAAATTACAAAATTCATATATCGATCACATATAACCTCAAAGACGCGAACTGTCACTCCGTCATACTTGTGCTTCGTATAAAAGTTCTACAACTTGTACTCACATGAAACTGAGTTTCCCTGGATTCGATGACATGTAGAATTACTGTGAAACCCTCTAAATTGGGATTAGACGTTTAAAATAAGAGTATAGCTAGAATTAAACTTTCGTGTTTATGTATGGGTGTGATGTATCGTAGTAGTGTGTCCGTGTGCTCATGTATATACGAAAATGGTAATTCTGTCGGTAATACATAGATGTCGGTAGACGTGCTACGGGATCCTCTTAAGCCCGTATCAGATTGGGATTAGATTTAAATTTGATCAATCAGAATAAAAGTTACTTGAGATTAGTAAACTTTACTGTGATTGGTTAAATTTCAATCTAATCCGAATCCGTAGTCTGATACGGGCTTTAGGCCTTGTATCCACGATGCTAGAACTTGATCCAAGTTTTAGTTCCGAGAAATAAATAGCCAATCAACTTGTAGCTTTTATGGAATAGCTGCAAGTTGATTGGCTACAGATCTCTCAGAACTAGAACTTGGATCAAGTTCTAGTATCGTGGACATAGGCCTTTAGGCCTTGTGTCCACGACCCAAGAACTGTGTCAAAGTTCTAGTTTTGAAAAATGTGTAGCCAATCAACTTGCATCTCTTACGGAAAAGCTGCAAGTTGATTGGCTACAGATCTCTCAGAACTAGAACTTGGATCAAGTTCTGGCATCGTGGACATAGGCCTTTAGAGACAGTTCGGGCAAAGCATGAAATGCATGAATCATTGAGAGGCGTGCGCATGTCCGGCCCAAACACCCAACTCCGAGAAGTGCTTCTTCGTAAACACCCAAATTTTTCCGCGCCGAGAATCAACAGATGCGCCGAAAACGTCCCAAGAGTTTGCAATCTTCGGTTTATTTTCTTTTCCTGCACTGGTGAACTGTAGTGCGGTAAGCTAGAATGAGAAAAAACATACTTGTCTAAAGCCTTGTGTCCACGATCCAAGAACTGTGTCCAAGTTCTAGTTCCGAGAAATGCGTAGCCAATCACCTTGCAGCTTTTATGGAATAGCTGCAGGTTGATTGGCTACACATTTCTCGAAACTAGAACTTGAACCAAGTTCTTGGATCGTGGACACAAGGCTTTATTCCAATTTGTTGCACCAGTTCACCAGTGTAGCAACAGGAAACAAGCCTCTGGCAGAGCCTCTGGTTTCTAATGGGAATGATCGAATGTGCGAAGACTGGCAGTACCGTTGCCACGAAAGGTCAATATATTTAGGCCAAGTAGTACATTACGTGCCAACAGCGCGCTCGCGGCTGACGCGCACGTGCACGCGCGCGCAGGCGCACGCATACGCGGACACGAGCACACATACGTGCGCGCGGGCCGCGCGGCAAAATTCGTACATACACGGCGCTCGCGGGTATCGCCAACCATTTGGAGCTAGTAGGGACCGTCTGTCCACGTTACGAGCGCAATTGATGTCGCCACATATTTTCGTCGTCGCCGATTCCGCGGGACCCGCCGTTATCGTCGCGTCCTCGCGGTCAAAATAGTCGTCGTAATCGCGCCCGTCGGCCTTGACTGGCTTGTTCGCTGCGTCTTCACCCGTAAGTTATGTAACTTACATATAGGTGAGTAAACAGGTTATGTTTTCGAAGCCTTGTGCCATGATGCTGAACGCGCAGCTCGGTCTTCTCGCGGCTGTTTCGCGCGATTTACCCGCGAGTGCGTGCGCTTTCGCGCCCGAGCCACAGAGCGGTGTGTCACGTTGATCGCGCGAGCGCTGCGAGTTCCGCGCTACGTTCGCCCACCGCAAATGGACACGCGTGCGTCGGTGAAATATCATTCGCGAGCCAACGTTGCTCCTGGCGCGCCTCCCGTGCATTTCTAGCGCCTCGTCGAAGAGTCGCCGCGGCACGTGGCGGATTTAACTAGATTTGCGAGCCTGGATAACCTTGGATAACTTATTCTGCTCAGGGTGTGACGGAAGCGGAGCGCGAGGCTTTCGAGCTTCTGCCGGACGACGAGAGACAATGTGAGGCATGCAAGACCACTTGTTTCCTGAGCGCGGTCACGTGTACGTACCACAAGTTGCAGGTAGTTTGCCTGAGACACTTTGCCGACTTGTGCACCTGCTCGCCGGAGAAGCATACGCTGCGCTATCGGTACACGTTGGATGAGTTGCCGATCATGTTGCAAAAGTTGAAGCTGAAGGCCGAGTCGTTCGACTCGTGGGTCGCCAAAGTGAAGGATGCGATGGACCCCAAGAACGACAAGATCGAATTGAACGAGTTGAAGGAACTTCTGAACGAGGCCGAGAGTAAGAAGTTCCCCGAGAGCGAGCTACTGACGGCTCTAACCACTGCTGTACAGGATGCCGAGAAGTGTGCGAGCGTCGCGCAACAGCTGTTAAACAACAAACAACGTACAAGGTTGGTGGAGCGTAAGATTCTATCATGTATCGCGATTCGTAAGGTTTTATTGGCGCTTGCGCAATTCTCGCCCTGCACAGGACTAGGCAAACGGTCGACACCAAGTACAAACTCACTGTGGAGGAGTTGACACTTTTCTACAAGGAAATAACCAACCTGTGCTGTGAGCTTAAGGAGTCGGATGGCGTTAAGTTTATACTCGATCAAGTGGTACAGTTCCAAAAGGACGCGACAGAATTCGAGAAAGACGAGGATTGCGACGTTGAGAAATTGGAGAAGTGCATCGACTTTGGCGATTCCATCTGCATCGAATTGCCTCAACTGGTACAACTGAAACAAGTATGTAATCGTGTGGATGTATGTTTACTTTTGAAGGTAGTTATTTTTATGTTTTAAAACTCTTTATTCTGCAGCAATTGGCGCAGATACAGTGGCTAGAAGAGGTGAAATCCCTCCAAGACGACCCGAAATCCGTTAGTCGCGACGAGCTGGCCAAGTTGGTCGAGAAAGGCATGACGATACCGCCTCATGTCAGCATCGAAAATACGTTGTCGGAATTGCACGCGTTAACGAAAGCGATCGACAAGTGGGAAGAGAAGGCCAAGGTGTTTCTCAACTCCAAGAATAGACGGACCATCGCGGCTGTGGAGGAATTTATTCGCGAGGCTGATGAGGTCGAGGCGTACTTGCCGAGCTTGGATATTCTTCAAGACACACTGAACAAAGCGAAGAACTGGACGAAGCTGTGCGACGAGATACGAGCGCGCGAACACATGCCGTATTACGATACCTTGGACGATTTATTAAGGAGGGGAAGGATCATCCCTTTGTATCTTACTGACCTCCCGACGGTGGAAAACACCCTCTCACAATCGAAAGCGTGGAAAGAGAGGACCGCGAGGACATTCCTTAGGAAAAACTCGCACTACACGCTGATGGAAGCTCTGTCGCCGCGAATTGGCGTCGGTGTACAGGGGATGAAAGCTAAGAAGAATAAGGGCGACGAGTCCACAGGCGCTGTTTACGTCTGCGATACGAAATTGGACGACTGCAACAGCCCGGCGACCGTGGTGGCTGCCTTCAAGCTGGCACAACAGCGCGAGATGGAAGCGATGAGAAGCTTGAGGGAGAGAAATTTGATGAAGATGAAAGCGGAAGCGGAAGATTCCAAGTATTGCGTTTGCCGGCGACCGAGATTCGGCATTATGCTCCAGTGTGAGCTCTGCAAGGATTGGTTCCACAGTGCGTACAGCAATTTGAGTGATCAAAAATTGCCCAATGTCGTCTTGTTAATATATAATTTTGTTGTATTTCACAGCAAACTGCGTGCCTTTGCCCAAGACAACGTACAAAGGTAAACCACCGGGGCCAAAAGACATGAAGTTTTTGTGTCCGTGTTGTCTGCGTTCTCGACGACCACGTCTGGAAACTATACTGGCTCTTTTAGTAACTCTTCAAAAAATTCCGATCCGATTGCCAGAGGGAGAAGCGTTACAGTGCCTAACGGAACGTGCGATGAATTGGCAGGTAGATATTCTCGTCAAATGTATATATTCTCACGTCGTCTAAATAAATTATGTATTGTATATCTGACGTAATTTTTGTAATGTTAATTAGGACCGAACGAAGAGAGCTTTAGCTACCGACGAGGTCTCGTCGATATTGGCAAAACTTTCTGTAATGTCGCAAAAGTTAGTGGAAGCTGCGGCGAGAGAGAAAACGGAAAAGATTATCAGCAGCGAGCTGAAAAAGGCAGCGAATAATCCCGAATTACATCAGAGAGTGCAGGCTATCGCGCCCCTCAGTGGAGTGCATTCGGACGATAGCACACTCAGTACCGCCGTGAGTACCGGTTGCGCGATATGAGTTGCAAGAAATCTAAATTACAAATGACCGTCGTTTGTAAAGAGGTGTTTTTAATATTTCAGGATGACGATGACGATGTTATTGCCTTGGATGACGAGCCAACATGTAGTACTTTCAATAGTAACGAACACGCGTATTCGTATAGTAAGTGTCTCGAATTGCGAGAAATGTGCGCGACGTATTTGAAGTCGGAAAATAATTGCATTTTGTATTATTGTTTCAGTCTCGAAAGTTCGGCGGAAAACTCAATCGGGTGACAGTGAGTCATTCGGTATATTGTCTTCAAACACGAGATTGCGTTTGGAGGAACTTATGATGGAGGGTGATCTGTTAGAAGTCTCGTTGGACGAAACGCAGCACATTTGGGGTATACTGAGTTACATGAACACGCAAAACACCATGCGGAAATACAAGTCGCTCGAGGAAATTCAAGCGAATGCCAATCAGGAGATGAAGGACGTGAAGAAACGGGGTAGGAAGAGGAAATCGGAGGAGTTTGAGTTACTTAAGAAAGTCGGACGGCAAAAAGTTGAGGAGAAAACTGTGGTTAAACGCAGCAAAAGCAGCGGCCCCGTCACCAAGGAGAAGAGACAGAGCAGTTCGCCAGTCCCAGTGAAGCGTGGACCTCGAAAGGTAATTGATTCTTCGATGATAACCGCGTGAAATCTTTCGTGTTAATGAAAACATTAATTCGGTTAGAAATAATAAATTTCTATAGTAAATTTGTATTTCACGAGTCTTAAATTCACGTGTACTTAAGAGCAATTAATTCCAAGTCTTTTTTTTGTGAACAGTAAGTCGAAGATTTGTTGCAAGTTGAAATTCGAGGCATTTTTTTAATGACTCATGACAATCGGTAATTCATAGTTTCGCGAACATTGAACAGCTCAATTTTAGTTGAATGTAAATTACAGGTGAAACAGAAGGGCGAAGGCGAGGAAAGTCCTAGGAAGCGAGGCGGTAATCGCACGAAGAAGACCAAGCAAGAAAGTTCGGACGAAGAGGATGATTGCGCAGCGGTTAACTGCTTACGGCCTGGTGGTAAGGACATTGTCTACAATACATTCGCAACGTGGTTTTAATGATATCTTCTAAGTGTTATAAGTGTTCTCTCTCTATATATACGTATACATATATAATTATATGTCGTAATATATACAATGGATACTGTCAGTAATAAACATCATATTGCCAATGATTGTGTACATACATTTTTTGATCATTGTATGAATAACGCGTATCAAATATGTTTATAGGAATTACTTTTGTGTGTATAATTTGATTCGAGAGTATTTTGATTGTACCCTCATTTGTTTCTTAAGTTACATTTTTATTTCGTCCATATTTCAACACGCATTTATTTTATTTGTTATTTAGGTAAAGAAGTTGATTGGGTTCAGTGTGATGGTGGCTGCGAAGGTTGGTTCCATATGCATTGTGTCGGATTGGATCGCACAGAAATTGCGGAGGAAGATGATTATATTTGTAGCAACTGTAAAGAAGCCGAGCAAAGTGCATCGGTAAGAAAAAAAGTGTTCGGAAAAACATAATGTATACAGTTTCCTCTTTTTTTTAAATTTTGTAATTAAATCCACAAAGTTATGTACATTGTCGGATTGTGTATATTACCGCCCGCATTTTACATTTTATTTGATAAGTATAATAAATATGCATGTCTGCGCATATATGTAAACATATCCTAGATCAAGGTTTCACTTTTCCGTGTTTGTTGCATTATTTTCTTGTATACTCGATTTTAGTTTTGGTGGTACTCTTTTTCTTTTTCTTTCTTTTTAAACTGTCGAGATCCGCGAAAAATCCGGCTAAATCACTAGGCCTGGATGCACTTCTTTCCCTTTCTCAGCCCCAGGAGTACCATGGCAGCACCACCGACACAGAAGCGGGTGTCTAGGAAAACGACATTCCTCGTCCTAGGATTCATTAGCCCACTTCGTGTCGTCTGTTAGCTCCGCACGAGGCTCCGGGGTGTTTGCGATAGTGCGACTCTCGATCTATCGACTCGCGAGGCAAAGTTAACACTAACAATTGTTTCTCGCCAAACTATTGCAGATCGTGCATCATTCGAATATCGTTTATCAGCGAACAAGCGATAACTTAAGATGCAAAGTATTATAGCATAGATGAGTTACGATACAGCGATCATATATGATGAACATTTCTTCTCATGAAGTATCTATCAACTGTTTTCATTTGTATTTGCAAATATTATATTTGTAGATGCTAGTGGCATCGCTAGTCAATCATCGATCTGCATTTATACATCGATCTATGAAATATTTGTTCACAAGTAGGAACGATGCTGCACAATGCTCGATATCAGAAAATTATTTTCGTGCTTCCTCGTATACACACATACACACACATGCATACGCACTCGCGCGTTTGCGTCTTGAAATTTGATTGTGCGATGATACGAACATTAGTTTTACCTAGTACACACGAAAGTATTCGTCTGTATCTCTGTCTGCGTTGTTTCGTTGTGTTTTTACGGAAAATTATCGATTTCGTTTCACGCCAACAGCAAACGAATCACGGATGAACCGTGATGCATGTACGCCTTTGTAGTTTTGTAATTGCTTTGTCCGTAGAGAAAAATGTTATTTTCGGTATTTTTAATTTTATGTACATCGCGCCTTTTACTGCGGATACGAAATAGTTTCTATGCGAGATATCTAACAATCTGCGACGACGGGATTGCTTCATTTGCAGCAATCTTAACAACACGGTCTATAATGCGTGTTGCCTTAGCTATAAATATTACCCTGGACTAAGGATATATTACAAGCCGAGTAACCCGAACGATGAGTGATATTCTCGAAAATGTTGTCGGTAAAATAATGATTTACCGTAACCAATCGTTCCGGAAGATAGCATTGCGTTACGGCAGCGAAGTATCTGTCAATCTTTTGTATCGGCTTTTAAAATGTCTGTGTTGGGCGCACAAAGCGACAAGCGAGGATTCCTTTGCGCCGATCATATGTACAGAATAGACTGAGAGATGTGTGTATTATGATTAGATTACATTTAGAATATTAGAGTATATCGGAATATAGAAAGTAAACATAAGCTATAGTTTGTATAAAATAAAAGGACACGATTCAGACAAGCAGATAAATTAGCATATCTACTCTGCCTTCCCGAAATAGTAATCTGTAAATATTCTCTCTTTTTGCACCAGAGGCTATACAGCTCTATAAAGCTCTATTGCGTTTACACTCCTTTGTAATTCTATGATACTTCTCATCTGTATGTGTTCGTCATCTTTGTTATTTTTTAGAAGAGGAAATGTATTTCTTAAATTCTTAATTTAACCGTAGCGCTGCATTTTATTATGTTCCTTTTGACTTAAATTGGTGAAAAATAACATTTTTCATGTAAATATTCACATAACATTACATGAATTAGAGATAATAACTAGTTTTTCCATTGTTTTTTTGTACTATCATTTATTGTATAAAAATAAGTGATAATTTGGTCTTGTCCCTTACATCCTTTTAAATATGTAGTTGTCGAAGTTAAGTTACTGAATCATGTTATCGAGTATAACAATTTTGTGGATTATATCACATAACGTAAGATTAGTTTGTATTGTGAGGAGAGTACACAAATGAATAATATTAAAATGATAGTTATTAGACTGCAAGATTTATTAGAGGAACATTTTATGAAGAACGTTGATTTTCTCGATAAGCCGCTTTGACTTTCCACCAAGAATGTTATTCTACAGTATATGTAGAACATCTTATCTATTAAATCAAGATTGTATATTTAAATAGGCGTTGATTCTGGTTCGAATTTGATATTTTTAATCTCTGATTATTTTGTTTCAAAAGTTTGTATTACTTGACTTTACGAAGAAAAGTAGTAGTCCATCCAATGCGAAATGCGTGCGGAACGCAGAGTGCTTTATATAGAACAACTTTTATCTTAGGCTAAATCTCACGAGTAAATCGTGAATGAGTCTGAAAAAAACTTTGTATAATTACTATGATAAAAGAAAATTGAAAAGTCTTGAGTTTTATAGCGAAAATCCGAAAAGATTGAATCAACGACAGCACAGTGTGTTTTAAATAGTTGTATACTTGTCGGATAAATCTTGACGTTTGATGAACGAGCTTTGCTAACGAACACGGAGGATTGTTGTTCTAATATTAATTATAGCGTAAGAGAAACGTCGAAGAATTCGATTAATAGAATTTATTGTAACACAAATATTGACGCTAATGACAAATTCTATCCACTTGTACTTCGTCGACAATGAGTATGCTACATTTTATTTAAAACAGGCTGTGAAACAAAGAATCGATGAGACGTGTACACATATATTTTTGTATAGATCAATAAGACCCAATAATCGATAATTTCGATTGATGTTGGATGTGACGCAGTGGATTTTTAATGATAGCATTTTCAAAAACATTAGTCGTTGACGTTTCGATATCTTTGTCACATTACTTATTTTTCTCTCTTGATACGGAGACTTGTATCAGATTTCACTTTAATAACTTTAAAAAGAAAAAACGGGACGTGGGATATTTAAAATCAAAATATTTTGCGTCTGACGGTAATCTCTCACTTATCTTTCTCGAGCGTGTATTAACAATGCGTTACCACAAAGGGAACGAAAAATTGGAATATCGTCTTACGTGTTCTAGCTGGACTATTGTACGTTATCATGAAATATTTGTATCATTGTGAATTATTAATCACTTGTTATATACCTAAGGCACAAGTGCCTACATGCCTTTCTAACACACTATTATGTGTTTCGACTTTCTCGTTGTGCGCAAACATCTCGACAGCATCATTCTCAGCGTAATATGAGACAGTCGGGCAAATTGTATTAAGTTAGCGTAAATTGCTCGTGATTCTTTAGTTATTCCGTTCAATTCCGTTCAATTCCGTTGAATCATACCAACGTGAATATTACATTTTTACGCAGCTAGTTTTGTAAATACATACAGTTTACTTTGATATGCACACACATACATACACAACAAAATTCCTTTTTAAATAGTGAACATATTTTTTTAGAGAAGAAACATCTTCACGAATTGGTATTTGTATTACTGGGATGTGATTTTTCATACTTATTAGCGATTCCTAATAGTTTATTGTCGTTAAAATTGCGATCTTCTCTCTCCGCCAAATGTATATTACGAATGATTCTGATATTCTGTTGTAAGTTTACATTCTCTACAGTTTTACCGTAATTATCTTGAGAGCTCTCGACCGGTGCGTAATTTATTCGCCGTCAAAGAACTGTATAAAGCGAAACATTTCTGTAATTTCTGAAGGCTAACTTAATACTTGTAGCGATAAAGATATATCACTTCGCAATAGGACCTTATTTGAGGCGGAGCCCGGCTCCTTTCGATAAGAAAGCGATTCACTTCTTGTTGCATATATTATCGTAGATGTATCTATGAATAAATCACTTGACGTCAAAGAAGCCGTTATCTAATTCTCGATGGTATTTCTTACTTTTAAGTTTGATATCATCCGATTAGATTCTTGATACTGTTTCGTACTCGTGCTCGTAATATCCGATACCGTCTGTGTTATGTCTTATCTCGCCGTTCAATTTCTTAAAAGCCTCCAAATTATGTATTTTAGTAAATTATGACTTTTAATTACACACATATTTGCGAGAGAAAGTTAAGTTTTGCACGTAACGAGGATGTGGTAAAATTAAGTTTTTTCCTTTAAAGTCTTGTAATATTTTCACGCCATAGAATATTTCCGCGTAATTATATATTTTTGTACTGTTACTCTAACGCGCGAGCGTTCTTGGGAAAACTTGAAAAAGGACTTTGGGAGATGAAGCTGCGGGGATTCCGGGATGGTTTGTCTCTCCGTCCCCCGCGAGGTAACATTATTTAAAAGGGGTCGGTGACCGTAGGAGCATATTCAATGTGGTGGGAGAGATAGAATGTCAATAAAGAGCAGAGGAACGTGAAAAGTCGGGGGGAGATTTCTGGCTCAATGTCGACGGCACGTTCTGAAAGGGTGCTCGGGCGATATTGAGCGCGCTCTTATGCGAGTCATTTAACAACCTTACATAATTTAGACAATGAAAATGTTTTCCTTCTTATCTACGATTCATTTTCTTCGCACATTTGGTCTAGATTAATGCGATAACGGTGATTCCTATCGCACAACGAGAGCCGTGAAACAAAGCGGAAACGATGCGAATGTAAACGAGCCAAGCGGTTTCGCATTATTGTGTTCGGTGCGTAGACAGGTTGGCCTCAACGACGATGAGTCAACCTAAATTTTTCAGTCCAACGTACCTTGCCACTCGGTGAAAAATGAGTCATCGTCATGCGGTCTTGTTTTGAATTCGTACGAATTGTATCGCAATACCGCGAATTCGTCGCCCGTGATTTTATCGTTAGTCAAATATCTCGCGGCTCTTGTAAGATAATTCGTAAATCGTTACAGTAAGCTCTAACTACAAAGATAGCGAATTAATTATTCAAATTATATTACGGTATTACAGAAACGTGCCACGTGCGCAATATTTATATGAAATGACAAGCATATTTGCGTTAATTTTCATATGTCGGACATTTTAAGTAGCATTTAAAATAAAATACAATTGTACGCCTAATGCATTGCAATTATATTATTTTATCTCGATCGGCACTTTACACACGTGTGACTTCATATCTTTATTTCTAGGGTTGGATACGAGACAGAGAACGAGAATCGAAACAAGCGTCTTTCGAGAAAGGACAGAAAATTGTTAGAATTAGGCGAATATTTATACGAGAGACAACGTCTAAATCGGATTTAAATTCCGCGCTCTCCGGGAAATCGTAATTTATAAATCAATCCGAAGTTAGCTATTTAAGTCGCGATTGAAACGAGTCGTTTGATTCGCGCTACAGTGATCGAACGCAAGTTAAAAATCCTACAGATCATAATTCGCTAATCGATCTTGGAATATGCTTATTAAATGGAATTCGGTGCGCACGCTCTGGCAGGCAGATACGCACGCACTCTCGAGGTCGCGATCGAGGTCGCGGGGCCGGCGTGTATCACATCACAAACCGTCGCCGAGCAGCTCGGAGCGCGTCGGGCATTCTCGTGCGTTCTCGGTAACGGTCGGGCCGCTGGCGCGCGCGGTGTTTGGAGCAGCGCCGCTCCGGCGCGCAGTCCCAGCTGCGACACCGATCGTGTCGGATGTTTGCTGTGCGCGTGACGCCGACTGGCTGACTGGTAGAGTCCCAGGAACACTTTTGCCGAAACTGAACGGCCGAGCGGTCGTTTCCGGTCGGTATCGAGTATCACGCGCGCTCGCGGCAGCTCGATCCACGCTTCAACGAGTGAGACAATCGTAGGTCGACCGCGCGGAGTGTCGTCGCACGTTGCGCGCCGCATTGTGTCACGACGTACACCGAGTCATCGGGCCGAGAAGGACGGACGGACTGAAGGAGGAAAGGAGAGAGCGCGAGAGGGAGTGTGCATCGAAGGGCGTGAGAGGGAGGGAGCGAGCGACGGAGAAGCAGCGACCGGGTGCCGTAGCGGAGAAAGGAAAGGCGGAAGGATTATATATTCGGACAACATGGCCACCGCGATCGACGACCGGCAGGAGCTGTTGGAGCAATTCCAGGCGGTGAGTTTTGCGTCTTGACAAAAAATTACTATATCTCGGCTGTCGTTGGAGCCGGCGAGTTCTCGCCGCTTTTCCGCGATCCGGCTGTGCCGCGGCGCCGGCTATCGCGCGCGGTTTCTTATCGATCGCCGGTTTTATCATTGTCGAAGCCCACCCTCGTGCCGCGAGCCGGAGCCGGAGCCGCGAGGCCGGGCGCCGCGCCGCACCGGGTGTCGCCGCCCCGTCCCGTCAGTCGGCATCGGTCGGCACCTCCTGCCGCCTGCGCAGCCCGTAACCCCGGCTGCGCTCCGAAACATCGCCTCAGGCCCTAAAATTCTGTCTCGTCGCTCGCACTTTAACGTCGTTTCAAAGTCACTTGAATGTATTATAGTCGCCCCGGGCGTGAAAGCTCACAAAACGCGGAATTTTCGAACAGATGTGTACCTGTATACAGGGTGTCCCAGGAGGAAATGTCAATACTCTGAGAGATGATAGTATCGGTCATTTTAAGCAAAAATGTTCATATGACTATATGTTCCTTTCCCCACTGTTTCCGAAATAGAGCTATTTGAATGTATAGTTGCAAAATTACTGACAAGAAAGAATAGGATTAGATTTTGTTAGATCTCGATAGATATCCTCGAACATTCAAGGAAAGTATCGAATCTCTGAAGATCTGATGACTTTTAGAATCGGATCCCATGACATATAATTAAATGTTACATGATTGAGACATATACAGGGTGTCCCGAGAAGAAAGGTCAATACTCTGGGAGGTGATAGTATCGGTCATTTTAAGCAAAAATGTTCCTATGAATATACATCCCATTCCCCACACTTTCCGAGATAGAGCTATTTGAATCTATAGTTGCAAAATTACTGACAAGAATAGGATTGGAGTTTGTTAGATTTCAGTATCCTCGAACATTCAAAGAAAGTATCAAATCTCTGAAGATTTGATGATTTTTAGAATCGGATCCCATGAGATATAATTAAATATTACATGATTGAGACATATACAGGGTGTCCCGGGAGGAAAGGTAAATATTTTGGGAGGTGATAGTATCGGTCATTTTAAGCAAAAATGTTCCTATGAATATATGTCCCATTCCCAACTGTTTCCGAGCAGAGATAATTTTACTTTTAAGATTTGTAACAAGTGTAGAATAATTGCCAAACGATTGGCTGGCAAATTCTAATTAAAGAAATTTACTGCGAAAATTATTACCTCAGTCAGGGTTTGAACCTGGACTTTTTTACCCTCTAGACGGGCGTCTCACCAATTCGACCACTGAGGCTTGTAATTATCGGGCAGTTATAATTCTATCGCGGAACAAGATAATAATTCAGTACTGTGTTATACCTGTTAACGACCCAAAAGTGGAAATTAATTTGATTCCTCATGAAATAATATGTGGACAAAGCGCAACGCGATTCTACGGGGCTTCATTACTGGTCGATATTCCAATATATCCCCGAGATTTTCCTCGGTTTTACCACAATCTTAGCCGGAGCAAATAAAGAGAAACAGGTAACGCCCTCCGTTCGTTCCGATTGTTGTGGTATGCGAGAATGCGAGAACCGTTCAATGGGAAGTTAATGTTAAGCGTTTCGAACCGGTCGGGCGCGTAATCGCGATCGCCAGAAACACCGGTGACCTGGTCACTTCTCGTTTCGCAGCCTCTCGTGTGCCTGGGCACGTGCACACGGATTAAGCACGTTGTATACACCATCGTTCTTATTATGTCGCTCCTCGTGTTTACTTCATACATGTTTGTTGTTGATCGCTGTGACCCGAAACCGAAAGCTAGCGAGACTCGTTGTCGTGTGCGTCGCAAGACTCGAATCGGCACTTAACGTAAAATATAAATTATTTCTGTGCCCGCTTTAAGATCGATCGAGCGAGCGATTTATCTACCTTCTGTGGTTTTACTTGTACGATATTATTCAGCGTCGAACGATTGAACCGCCGATTGGGACTACGAGCAAACACGTCGTTTAAAGTTCGTTTACGTCTGGTGCAGTCTGGCGCAGCGATTTGTTAGAGCAAGTTTGATCGATGCATCACTTCTCTCTCGCCCACGCATCTCTGGGCATGATGCAGTTAAGCTAAATATATAGAACAGATGAAATATTTTCAAACATTGATAACAGCCTACCCACGCGCTACTTGCTTGTTCAATAATATTATTCTCTGAGTGCTATTAGCGATTACGGAATGCGGTTCTTGATGACAGGAACAACGTTGTTACCTCGTCGATGTTCCGATAAATAAGATCGTACGCCGATCGCCGATTAACAATTTCGCAAGTACACACCTAAAAATTATTATCACTGATCTTTTATAAAAGAAACTCCAGGTATTTTATCTCACTTTGCTAATCTTTAAAACTGATGGTGTCGGAAATTTATATTCTTGCCAATTTAGCATCAAAGTAGGTCTTCTTAAGTAGGAGCTAAAGTAAATTTTTTAGAATGAAAGATTCGAGGGAGGAGTAAAAAATGTAATGTCATCAAAGTAGGTTATTGCTGGTCTATGTAGGTGTATAGATCAGCTAAGTGGGTGTAAATTATCCTTAAAAGTGTCAAAGTAGTACAAAAATTTCGGGATACTTTATCAGAAATGATTTGCCTTATTAAATAGACTGCGAAGCGTTGAAGACGTTCAATCGCAGCGTCGTTAACACGTGGTTCACACTTCGGGCCGCCACGTGAATCTCGCGACTGTTCCGATTACGCTTCATCTCGCATGTGAGACAAATTAGATAAACCGCAGATGTGTTTGCCCCGGCTTTTGGAAGTGCAATCGACCTCGTTGCCGCGCGATTGCACTTTGCTCTCCGCGACAGGCTTGTCACGGTTGGCCGATCGGCTGTGAATGCGCAGCGGTTCGTTTCCGAGATCGTTTTTTCTCTCGCCTCCGCGACTCCGATTCGAAAGGCAACCTGACTTTCGATATAACTCGTTAACCCTTTGCGGTCCGTTACAATATCGGGAAATAATCCGATATTAAATTCTGTTTCTCTATAACTTTGTTATTACCTTTTGCACGCGATCCTTCGTAGGATTTTTATCCAATTAATATACTAGTTGCGGAATAAGATAATTTTTTAAATATACGTTTGCGAGCGGACCGGAATATCGATGGCGCAATTTCTTATCGTGTTACAACGGGATATCAGAAATTTTATATAACGCCTTTCAGCCTATTTGAAATATTTTTGCAGAATGTTCATCCGTGTTTTTCCGTCGGTGGTTTTACCTGCAAATGTGTAAAACGCGAAATATTAGTTTTCCACCGTTTTGTTCGTTGTTGGCATAAAATTGATAAAAATCAATAAGCCCGTGGCGAAAACGCATTTATTTTACTCTCGGAATAATTCGGCAAACTTTAATCCCGATTTGAATTAACAATTTACAGTATTTTCAATAATAACCCCAATAATACGCGATACGAATGAATTACTGTTTTTACAAATAACGTTATGTCGACGAGTTTTCGCGTGGTTCGTATTTATGTTCGTATTATGATTTTCGTTTGCACAGTACGCGATAATAAACTTCCATCGGCGAAAGGCTGATCCCGGCGATACAACACGCGTTTGTCGTTTCCCTTTGTTTACGCAACTCGGAAAATAAAATGTCGCAAGTGTAAGGAGGGTCTTGATATTTACATACGAGCGAGACAGTGCAATTACTCCTTTCCGTCGGCCGTATCTGTCGAGAAAGTCTTCAATTATCTTATTGATCGCGTTAGCGGTGTGCGAGAGACGCAACCCCTTCCTACATCTTCCGTCGCGAAACTCTGTGTGAACGATGAGTAAGAGCACATCAAGGGCCACCCCTAGCACGACGCTGAATCATCGGATACTCGTCGCTTTAAAGTCCCGATAAAATACGCACCGCTCGCCCTCGCGGGGTGACCGAGATAGGTTTTTTTTTTATTACGGGAAGCACTTCTCGATAAGACCAAATGGCTCGTAACTGTTATTTTCATTGCTTCTCGCACGCATCATTTGTCACGCGCTCGATTATTTAATATCCGCCAGTTTCACTCGCGTTTGCTGTTAGCACTCTTTGTATTTGATATTCAATTATTTATTTCTTCCTTCGTGTTTCGTCAAAGGCTCCTTTTCCTAAATTCTTGTAAATATACAACGTCTGTTGTCGATGAATTTTCTCGAGTAATAAAATTCTAATGTAATTTCACAAATTAAGCTAATTAACGAAGCAAGTCACTTGAACATCGCGTCTTTTGCACAAGGTAAAGCAAGAGTAAATTATAACGAGCGAGGCATGATACACGAGTCTCTCTTTAAACAGACAAAGGTGCAAAAGAGTGACATTTCTGTGCGCCACACGCGTCGGTGCTTTTCCAAAGGATTACCACCCTTTCGCAACATCGCTCTCCTGATGGGGTGATTCTCAACCCTTACCCACACACACACACATTTAAACGTGTATAATCTACCTCGACGTATGCACGACATGAAATGCGTATATTAGAATAGGGAGACGAAAATATACATATACATTAGAAAACTGTTTCGTAAATACACAGGAGCCTGCATTAGCGACGCGATTGATGAAATCAGACAAGTACACTG